CGTAGGAATTATTGGAATTCTTTTTTCTTTTCTTTTAATTTCTTATTTTTTCCATTTTTTTATAATTTTATCCTTCTCCCTTCTGTTAGTTTCTTCTTTTCTTATTATTATTCTTTTTATTTTTTTTTATTTTTCTCCTTTTTTTTTTCTTTTCTCTGCCTTGGAGCAACTATAAATTTGATTGTTAGCAATAAAAAAGGATTATTATTTTTTATTACGTGGCGTTGAAATTATTGGTGAAACTCATACATTACAGGATAAAGCTGAAGACATGTTATGCTTTATCGGAGTTGAAGAAGGGTATTATTTGCATATTATAAATTAATACTTTGTTCTGTTTAGTATAAATGTATTTTATAATTATGGTTACACATAAAATGATTTATTCGTGCAATATACATCTGTTCTGGTTATACTTCACCTATGAAAAAAAGTTTAGAAATACAGGAGGGCGCACTCAATGTGAAATTCTTTAATGGACACCCTGCGTTGAGTGCACACGTTTCGTGCAGTTTAATTGCGTTTAATGGTTTTATAAAAGGCACTGTAAATATTTTTCATGAAAGATGAGAATAGACTGATTACTTTATTCTATGTAGTTCAAGGTCCATTATTTTTTTTCTTTCTCCTAAATATGGTTATTTCAGCAAAAAAGAAAGTGAATTACAAGGCCCACATCATTTGTGAGCTCACTAATTTTAATTATTCTCATAAAAATTTAAATGAATTATATATTTTATTTATTCGCGTGTGTAATTGCACCAAATAGCAGCGTATACTCTAAAAATGCGATACTCTGTGTGAATAATAGAATGAAAAATATAAATGAAGTGTAATCTCAATTGTGTCACAAGGAAAACAATTATGTTTCACCCGGAAAAATAGTGATTGGAAAGGGTTTTATAGTAGTTTTTTCATATAAATGGGATGAAATGCGAAAAAAATATTTTTTTACAGCGATTTTCATTAAAAATTATTCGTTGCTTATAGATTTTTTTCTGCGCGTAGAGCATTTTCTTTTTGACGCAGTGGGCAGTAAATTAAGAATTCTGTTTTTAAATAAATGTAAGTTTTTTTTTCTTCCATTGGAATTATATATTTTGTTAAATACAGTTGACGTATATTTTGTAATGTTGCCATATTAGTAATTAAGTGTATATTATGGATCGCTTGCCCATCATTTGCGTCGTGTGGGCGAGGTAGTATATTTTCGCAGAGTTCATTTATTCCCGAAGCTCCTATGTGACTATTATATGATGTAATTCACCAGATCATATGTAAAATATACATCGCTTAATATGTTCCTTGATATTTTCTTATTATGACCATTTGTACACCCATATAGTGCGTTCTAATCCATGACATTATATTAGTGTGTTGATCGTAATCTATGAAACCTAAGAATAGTTTAAGCGATGTAGCGTTAATTATGAGTATAGTACGGCTGCGTGAATATATTATCAGCAACCAAAATATTCCAACAGTGAAATAATATTATGTAAATAATTGAACCGAATTTTGTATGCATCACAGTTGGTAGAATTCGGGTACTATTTGTAGCAGTTGCATTGGATAGCGCCCCTCTATATGGAAGTTTTTATTTTACACTATATAGTACATAAATGGATAACACACAGTTTCTGCTCCCCTCCCCACCGCTGCAGTTGAGCGTTACCTTCTTTTGCCTTCATTATTATGCGCACATAAAGGGTAGGGGCTTACGGGGGAGAAACTCTCCATCTGTGCCCATGCCCCCGGGGTTTCGTCTTTCTCTGAAATTTTCAAATAAACCAAACGTTGCAGATTTTGAACAACGCGCAACATGAAGCTTTCGCGACATGCTAAGGAAAAATGACCGGACACATATTTTGGAAAAACAATTGCACCCGATTTAACTTCTCATTTAAACGAACGTCCAGGAATTCAACTCAGTGAAATGGACAAGAATGACGCAAGCATTCCTTAAAAGTGTTTTTATCAAAATACGAAAAAATTGGCGCACTTGCGGGAGGAGGGTAACTGTTCCGGGAAACTGTTCGGGGAAACTCCGAGATTTTCTATTTTTGTCTCAGCTGCGCCCCGAAAATTAGCTAACCATCAGAAGGACTGACGTTAGGTACCTCGTCTCGGGCAGCGACACGTGCACGGGGTGATCCGCGCTAATGCGACCCTCACCTATTATGGTGCCTTCGCACTTGGACCAATGTAGCGACCTCCGTATGCACAAGAGCAGCTCCTCATACCCAACTAGTTTGTTACAACTGGAGACAAACACGTACCCAGGCTTCTGCACAATTCGAAACGATATGTACAAAAGTTTCTGGTAAATGTTTAATGCAGCAGGGAGTAAATAATTGTTACGTGCTAGGGCTGGGGGGTCAACCAATATGACATCGTATTTTTTTCTCAAAAATTCATCCCTATTACTTTTAATCAGTAAATGTTCTGCATCCTCTACTTCAGTCGTGTTGACTTTGCTCTTTCCATATATGAATATATTTTCAACATCCGAAAGGAGCTTCTCCCCGCCTTGTGCAGAGGGGGGTACACTTGCGTGGATGTGATTCTCTGAGCTGCTCAGGTTAGTGATATCCCCATTGGGGGGCTGATCCAACTGGCTAGAAATAGGGGAACTACATGCGCTTTCTTTTTGGCATGACCATTTCGGACATCCCGATTCGCTCCGTTCAGGAAGATGGTCTCTGATGTGTATTGCTTCCCCGTCAATGCGGCCGAAGGAAAATCCCACTTGAGCGTGCAGACAAACGTTGAGAAACTTCTTAACACAGGAATGCACAAAATTGGTCTTATCCATGACACCGTTGTAATTCGCTGCTTTAATCCCATACTGAATAGCATCATAGGACGAATCAACACAAGTCACTTCCTTGGCGCCATAGTAAGCTAACGTAATTCCAAAGGAACCAACATAGGAAAATAAATCAAGTACCCTCTTATTCTTACAGTAGCTAATAAGCATTGCGCGATTAAATCGTTGGTCATAATACCATCCCGTCTTTTGACCTTTTAAAACATCCACAAAGAAGGTTAATCCATTTTCTCTGACTTCGATCGGTGCATTGTATATACCTTTGTACACCTCTTTCTTTAGGGGCAGTTTTTCTAGCTTCCTTATTTTATTATCATTTTTTAAGATTATGATTTCTGGGTTCAGTACCTGCTCTATGCTTTTCAGGATAGAATGCAAAAGGATGTCCATGCCACTGGCATTTATCTGTACACATAGTAGTTTGTCGAATTTGTCAATAATAACTCCAGGTAGAAAATCACTTTCTGCATTAACAAGACGAAAGAAATGATCGTTGGGGAATAACTCAAGCCTTTTTTGATAGGCCTTTTCAATTCGAGACGTAAAAAATTTTTCATTTAAGCAGTCATTTACATTTGTACTTAACACCCTCGAGGCGATAATAGAGTTCTTATTGTATATTCCTACCCCCAACTGTTCGTCATATTCATTTTTTATATTAACTATGCATGGACTGTACAGAGTTAATTCATCTGCGTTCTTTACGTCTTTTGAATATAGCCATGGAAATCCATTCAATAGATTTTTTACGCACCTTTCAGTAACCACTAGTGAAGGTCTCTTGGCAGGGGTGTCCACATAGCTTATCTGACTATGATGATAGTTGTTGAGCCACTTGAGGATGATGACGCCGTTCTTCCTTTTAGCGAACGCGGAAAAGAAGTCTCTTCCAAGAGGAAAAACAGGCACCATATGTCGAGAAGGAGGAACACAGTTCCTTCTACTGCGGATCGTGGAAGGTCGAAAAGGAAGCCTCAGAATGACCTCTCTGGAGACACACAATGAATCGCTCTCCCTATATTGATGCACATTTGTGGTTATGTTCAAATGGCTTCTAAGAAAGGGGACGTATCGTAAATATTATCACAAAAAGTGACCTATAAAACGGCGTACGACACTATCTTTTTTTGCTACCCCTTTCGTCGTTTGCTCTGGGAGGAATATCACCTTCAGTACAGACTTGCAAATCGGCTGTGCAGCACATATTAATGACATTAACTATATGGGAAGAGCTACATAGTCGGCGTTTTTCTGCAAATACATTCATGTGTACAGTGAGCAGTGTTGAGGTGGCCTATTTGCGCATCACTAAGTTGTGCTTTTTTTTTTTTTTGTTTTTTCCAAAAATAGAGCTGCTTATACAGCAACGCAAAGTTAGTGACCCCAATGGGAAGTAAATAACGGGGGATTCTTAAGTGGATTTTCCTCTTTTTTTACCCCTTTTGCATTTCGTGATATGTTGCCGCTGAAATTTGCCCCTTCCACTTTCCCCTTTGCCCAAATTCACGTGCATAATTTGAACGAAAATTATTTTTTCTTTTCCCACCCGAGGAAAAGAATTGTTGGAATAAAGATGAAAAAATTATGACATTAAATTAGTATAGTCTGGGGAGCGAAAGAGAAAAAAAATAAGGAAACATAAAAGGATGGGAAAGGCATTTGTTTCCAAAATATATCGTTTTTAAAATTTCCAGGTTTTTTGAAAATGTTTTTTTTTTCTTTTTTTTTGGACTCAGCAGCTGAGAGGCATTCGGGCGAGCAAATAAAACTCACGCGATCTTCTCACATTTGCATAGGCTCCACATGCGCAGCAGTCGTTTATGTAAACGCGTAAGTTCCAGTATACCGCTAACTCACAAACATAGATATAACCGCCAGTTGCTTAATTTTACCGTGGCCCCGTGCTAGAAGTTAACCAGTCGGTTGTTCTCACATAGGGACAAAATGCCTGCAACCAGCGAGCCCTTCCCTTTCAGCATTAAAAGGAGGCTAAGCCAGACGAACGTACGTTAATACACACGTGAATCAGGCTGCCCTTCGTGCGTAAGCCGGATCTAAATCTACATATGTCCAGTGGAAAGGTGTCTGCCTGACTTGTACCAGTGGAAAATCGCAAAGCCGAATATTCCCTGCAACTACAGATCAGGACCAACGCATCACCGAGCACGAAATGTACAACGGAATCGGACTGAAGACCCCAAGGGGGTCAGGGACCAATGGATACATCCAGACAAACATGGCGCACATTCGAAACGCCAGAAACACAGTCAGAGATTACGAGAAATTCAGGAACGAACTAACGATGAATAGCATAGTGGACAAAAAGCACACCTGTGATTATTCAATTATTGAACACTCAGAAAAAAGAAAAATAGAGTTAAAGGTTTTACTATATGAAGAAAAACTAAGAGAGGAGGGGAAGCAAAGCATCGAAAATTTAGTCGACCAGTATCGGAATCTGTTATATGAAGAATATTATGACGATAAAAAAAGGAAAGAGAGAACTGTCGGAATGCATTCTAATAGGGATAGTACGTGGGAGGAAAATACCCACATGCGTAATGATAGGAAGAAGAAACAACTAGAGGATTTTCAGAGGGCCCTACGAATTCGAAGAGAAAATAGTCGCGATCGAGGGATGCTACTAGGGAGAGAGAATCCCAAGGGGGGTGCATCCTATGGGGCAAAAAGTGGCGAAAAAGGTGGAGAAGAAAATAACTTAAGCAAGGATCTGGGAAGGGAACCCAAAAGAGGTACCAAAAAAGAGAAGGAAAAGCAAAGGAGAAAAGAGAAGAGAGACAGCAAAAAGCCCAAATCTAGGAGGAAAAAGACGGAACTTCCTGACCACAGTGATGATACATACCAGGGAGGAAGTGTCGAAGAAAGTGATGAACAGGACGACAAAGGTCGGAGCCTCTCAAGAAGCGTCGCAACTAGTAGCGACCCAAGCAGCAGTGACGCTACCAGCAGTGACGCGACCAGAAGTGACGCAACCAGCAATGACGCGACCAGAAGTGACGCAACCAGCAATGACCCGACCAGCAGTGATGCAACAAACAGTGACGATTATTCCGATGCAGACTCTAGTTCACCTTCAGAAGAATCAGACCATTCGGGAAACTTCGAATCGTCTGAATCCTTTGTGGCTTCCAGTGAAGACGGCTCCATACATAACCCAAAGCGTGGGAAGCCTCTTAAGAAGGAATGGAGCGATGGAAAGAAAAGAAGGAAGATCAGTTCTCAGGAGTCTTCTTGTCCCAGAAGAAGAAGGCATAGAACCAACAGAAGAAGAAAATGCAAAGATATAAAGAAAAGTTCGGATGCGTCCAACTCATCAGGCGATGCATCCGATTCGATAAATTCTAGCAGTTCCCGTGACTTAAGCGATGCCTCGCCACGACGCCGATCCGATGACATGAAAAAGAAGCCCGTTCACAAGGAGAAGAGACATGATAAAACCAAAAGTGCTGCTGCGATCCGTAAGGATGAGGATCGCACACGTCTGAGCAGCAGGAAGGATCGAGATCAGAGAGACCGGTGCAGTGGAAGAATAGATGACCCAAGTGAAGAAAGCAATGGAATTGAAAGAAGTGACAAGCAGAACCAACGCGACGAACGCAACAAACACGACAGGAGTGATAAGCGTAACAATCATGACAACCGTGATGAAGGAGACAGACGTGACAAAAGAGGCAGACGTGACGAACGAGACAGACGTGACGAACGAGACAGACGTGACGAACGAGAAAAACGTAAAGAACGACAGAAACGTAACGAACGAGAAAAACGTGAAAAACATGAAAAACGTGACCGACGTGACGATAGTGAAAAGACCGAAGGGACAAATAAACACTCCCCGAAGAAAATCGCTCACGCTGAGGCTCACGCGCGAGCAAGGGATTCCTCCTCCCCCAGCGGAAGGATAATGCGCCGGTGCGATGATGCCCAACCGAACGATCGCAGATCTGGAAAAGCGCATAAAGAGAGGGATAAAAAGCAGAGTGACAAATACAGAAAAAGAAGTGCCAGCAGCAAAAGTAGTAGTCTCGGTGCACCAAGAAAGAAGAAAAGAATCGAAAGTGGAACTGATTTCTTTGCGGACAATCATGAAAGGAAGAATAATCAAAAAAATGGAAATCCCAATTTCGATAATGACAATTGTGAAAACACACAATTTGAGAGTGAAAAATTGAACAAGGAACCCACCAGTGAGGAAACTTTACAAATTATTAACAATATTAAAAATTACTACAGCAAAAAAGAAAGAGAAAACTGCAAAAAGTCAGAGCGAAGGAATTCTCCACAGAGACACTTGAGTAATAATGATCCCAGTCCATCTGAACACAAGATAGAAGCTCCAAAGAAAAACAGCAAGAGGAGTGATTCCCTTGACAGGGTCAGCAGCGAGCGCGGCAGTAGTAATAGCAGTAATAGACGTACAGCCCCCAAACACAGCTGTGACAAACGTAAAGGTAGTCACAAAGAAAGAGAATCGCCAAGCCTATGTGCACAAAATGACCAGCGGAGAAACAGTCATAGGAAAAGAGAAGGAACGACAAATGAACAGAAGGATGGTAGACGTAAAAAACAGACGGAGGACGATGAAAAACGAAAACATGGACACAAGGAAAAGTCAGAAAATGCTAAAAGTAGACCTGAAGAAGGAAAGGAACCTAGGCAAGTGAGTGAAGACGAGCATGAAAAATCACCGAGTGAAAAGGAAAAGGAAACAGACGATAAAGAGGCAACCGGGAAAGAAACTCCAGCGAAAGAAGAGATGCACCAAAAGGAAAAAGAACAAAGCAGTAATGCCAAAAATGAGAAGGAGACCAGAAGGGATGATAACAGTAACGCAAAAGAACAGAAAAAGAGATTTCTGTTTTTTTAAATCTACGAGGGGAGACCGACAGGAGCATCCCATTTTTGAAGTCCCGAGCTGTAAAAAAAGCGCCGCAAATGCCACGAAAGTGTACCATGCGCAGAACATACACGTGTGTGTGCATATATAGATATCCCCCGGTTCAGATGCTAACCTTTTTAAGGAGCAAAAGCATCACAGTGATGTGCAAAAATATTTTTTTTTTTTTTTCTGATCCGATGGTAGTTAGATTGTATGACCTGGTTGTATTTTCTTTAAATGACACTTTGTACATTTTTGTTTTTTTGTATCGAATTGTGTTGTGCTGTATTATTTTATTTTTTTTTTTTTCGTTGTTCCATAGGAAACAAGGTGCCGGGCGATGCCAATCGCTCCGCAATTTAAAATTAAAAGAGTCGTTATTGAAAAGGGGGCGAGGAGCAAAATGGCCAAGCAAGGTAGCCATCGAGCACGGTAGCTCTCAAGCGGGGACACGACCAAGTGACGGAGCCTCCTTTTACTTTGCAAAAATGTACACATTCGATGATGCAGCCTGCGCAGGGGGTCCTCTCGTGACGTGCGCAGAAATGCAATAAAAAAGAAAAAAAAATGTAGATTTGGGGGGGAAAAATCATCAAAGTGCTGGGGAGCAGGCATGTAAGGTGCACATTCGCAGAGGTGCCGCAATTGCATGGAATCGGCCTCACCTTCGAACTGTTCTACGCTTTGCGGCTTCGCCGCCACACCGCCTCACACCCTAACTGCGGCTCTTATTTTTAAACCACTGCAATAAGCCCCCGAGCAAGCTGACGGTCTCAAACTCAGCCTTGTCATGGTGCAGGGAGGTGAGCAGTTCGTGGTAGTTTTTATCCAAGTCGGAATTCTCGTCGCTAGTATCGATCAATTTCGAATTCTGGAAGAATGCGTCCCCCCCAACAGTGATGATCTTCCCCTTGGTGAAGTATTCAACCCACAGGTGATACAAGTACCTTAGCAACAGCGTCAATGTCCATGCAACCGGCGCAAAAATAAACAAAAACAACGAAAGGGAAAACTTGTAAGTGCTTTTCTTTTCTAGTACAAATATCTCATGGTAAAATGGAGTAACGTCTTTCCACAAGTGCAAATTTTTCTTTACATAATTGCAAAAATAATCTACACATATAGTATCACAGACGACTAAAATTTTGACGTCTTTCTTTTCCGGACTTAATTCATACTCTGCATATAACTCTGTTTTTTTCATTTGATTTCTGAATTCGTTTATTTCGTCATATGTTGTTTCGTTAAAGAAGGAAAGAAGTTTTTGTTTAAAACCTTTTTTCTCTAAATTGCTAGTCTCATACTTATTCCTACTTCTATCTTGATGGCTACCATTTGGGGGGTGATAAAATTTGGACCTAAATACTTTCAGCAGAATTGCATGCAAGTTGTAAATTAGGTAGAGAGCATTTTCTGCAATTAGTGCGTGGTAAAAATGGGGTGCATGATTCTCTAAGTTTAATTCTATATCGTCTCTTTTGTTTCTATCACCACGGGGAGCTACGTCTGAGCTGCCCGAAACTGCCTTATCACTGTTGACGAGGAAGTAGTACAGCAGGGAAAATATTTCCTTCGGGTTACTAAAGATAGCCGTGCCAATACTTGCCAATTCGGTTAGCCTATCTCTACCTAGGCAGAAGTGAGGGACATTCAAAAGGAGACATTGTTGGATCGGCGAAATGTACTGACCATTCACTTTTTTCATATTGGAGTGAATCGAGTCAATCATTTTTCTCCTAACCAATTCAGCTCTGTTAAAAGATTTCAAAATTTTATCATAATCTACATAGCCTATTCCGAATATTGCAAAATCGTAATTTGTGCTGGAAATGTCTTTAATTATATTCATACTTTTCATTTCCAGTATTTCAGCATTGTTCTTATTTCGTGGAACTAGGTCGAATACGTGTAGCGATAAATTTTTTTCGCCCCATTTTAGGCTTATCTTTCTGTACTGTGTGGGTGGGCTGTCACTGCTCTTCCACTTGGTACTCGCAGCGCTTGCGCTGTTTTTGCATCTGCGCCCCGAGATACGGAGCATTTTTCCGTTGCAGCGGTTGTCACTGGGTGGGGGGAGCACAACAACACATCGCAACACACAGTAACGCGCAGAAACACACAGCAACACACGTCAGCTCATCCTGGTGTACCTCTACAAAGCGACCACACAGGAGACAGCTTCTTCTTACAACTCTGAACAGTTCAGCGAAGTGACACATCACCAATCGTGCCACTTTTCCGTCCACTTCCGCTTCCCCCCACTCCTTTGTATGCTAACATTCGCAAACCACTGATGGCTCACTGGGAAACTGCTTCACCATCGACCCCCCCACAAGAAAAAGCGCTTCTTCCGAATTTGTGCCGATTTGCATATACCTATTTGAGCCTTCTTCAAAATTGAAAGGCGCAAGGGTAGGATGCCTTTTGGGGGCTGCTCTTACATGCATATCCCACAGGGTCATTAAAAAAAAAAAAAAAAAGAAAGATAACTTTTAAATTGTCTCCAGATATTTGCAGCGGGGTGTACGTAACTTACGCGTGTTCATTCTTTCCCCACGTTTGCCTGCCCAGTCCGAAGAGAAAATGCTAGAAAGGGCACCCACAATATGATCACATCTACAATTTTTTTTTTCTCTTTCGCTACATGTTTGAACTTTCACATGTGGGGACCATTTCCAATAAGCGGCTTCGTGCACAGCATTGTGAAGGAAGCCCGTTCATTTCTTTTTTCACTACAAGGAGAGGCAGAGTTTTTTTTTTTTTTTAAAGCTGGCACGACTGCTATGTGAGCACAAAAGCAGGTACGCAAAACGTGCACATATCGCGGTATGAAGAGCTGCGTCGTAGAGGGCATAGGTTGCATCTGAGTAGTTCTAGTCCAAACTTAGCGCTGCTCATTTGTGATGTATAGGGAGGACCCGCTTAACGTATTGCCATACTTCATCATCTCACGTACTTGCATAGATGGATCACAAATCTTCATAACAGTTACACACGTACATAGATGCGTAGAAGTAACTCGCTCCAAAGTAAAACGAAAATTGCACAATGATACGCATTCCTAGGGAGAGAGAGCGATACAGAAATAATGACAACAAACAACTTGAGAAGGGTATTCGTCGTGGGATATGCGAGAACACCCATCGGTTCCCTTAGTGGGAGCCTGTCACAAATACCTGTACATAAGTTAGGTTAGAATGGCGCCTCTTTGCAGACGCGCCCGTGCAAATGTGCCTGTATCCATCTGTACATATGGATCCATTCATCCTTCCTTTTTTTTTTTTTTTTTCTTTTTTTTTTGCACCCCGCTGCGAAGCCGGCCCAACCATCCTGAAGGCCCTGGAGCGAAGCCAAATTGAAAAAGACGAAGTGGACTGCCTAATCTTCGGACAGTCCCTCCCCGCGGGGTGCGGCCCGCTACCCCTCCAGAGGGTGGTAGTTGCAACGGGTTAGCCATTATACCTGCTAGCTATGCAAGAACGGATGAAGATTCATTCCTAAGCAGTGCTCTCCCTTTTGAAGTGCCCCTCCTACAATGTGTTCTCACCCATAGAAGATTCTCCCCTTTGACTTCTCACCCCCACCCCCTGCAGGGATAAACCTAAACGCGAAGACGCATCTGATAAGCAACCTGTGCTGCGGAGGGCTGGACGCCGTCACCCTCGGTTATGAGTTAATCAAAGGCGGGAAGGACATCTGCGTAGTTGGTGCCATGGAATCCATGTCGCAAAGCCCCTTTTACTTAAAAAATATAAGAACAGAGAGGTACCATCTCGGGAACAGCCTCCTAAATGACAGCATCGTCTGCGATGGGTTCGACTACATTGTTACCAACAAGGAATTAAAAAGAAATAATAACATGGAACAGTTTTGCAAAAAATTTAAAATCCCCAGAGTAGACCTCGATGCATATGTCCTCAATTCGTTTAAAAGAACAGCCAATGCGTACAGTGACAATTTAATTCAACAAGAATTGTTTCCATTAATAATTCAAAGAAAGAAAAATCCCATCACGAATGAAAAAACAATTATCGAAACTGACGAAATGTACAAAAAATATAACCTTGATGATATTTGTAATTTAAGTAATGACTCGGTAGTAACGAGCTGTAATACTGCACCGTTTGCAGATGGCGCCTGTGCAATTGTACTTATGAGTGAACATAAAATAAACCAACTTCAAATAAATCCGTTAGTGCAAATTGTGACGTATGATAATGCATCCGTCTATCCTTCTGATGCTCCAGTCAGTATCTCTCACTCAATTATCAAGTGTCTTAAAAAGGTAAATAAATCCTCTGTTGATTATTACGAGATTAATGAATCCTCCGCTTTGGACGTAGTGTACAACATTCGCAACTTAGGCTTAGACGATTCTAATGTGAATATAAATGGCGGAGCTTTATCCATAGGACATCCAAGTTCTGTTTCCGGATCGAGGATCCTCATTTCGCTCATTACTGTTTTGAAAAACTTTGACATGAAGTTGGGTTGCGCTACTATAAATAACTATCTAGGCACGTCCACCTCTGTCATTGTGGAGAATGTCTAGCCTTTTTTTTTTTCCCTTCTCGCCACACGCGCGTATTGATCATTCCAATAAAGAGGCAGCCCCCTCCCTCATACACACACACGTCCCTTTTACTCCTTTCCCTTTTTAACCCTACTTGGGCATTACCATTGACTCTGCCTCTACATTTTTTCGTTTTAGCAGCACGTCCATCTATCTGCACCACTTTTGCCCATGTAGTCGGCAAAAAGGCGATTCACAAAATTTGGAAAAGTTAAAAAGGTAGCATTACCATGAATGTGATTTATACATAAAAAAAAAATCCACAAATGAGGGAGAAACAAAATGGACCAAAAAAAAAAAAAAAAAAAGGGAAAAAATATTTCTTCATAAGAGTGTAAATTAAAACGGGTGAAGCATTAACGAAAAATCTGATCGGCGAAGGTCACAAGATGGTGGGCATGGTTACACAACTGTGCAAAAGGAGGGAAACTCATACAGTGTGTACAATCTGTGCAAATAAAATTAGCATTCATCTTGTGTAATCATGTGCGGATGTCTCCATTTCTCACGAGTGTGAAAAAAAAAAAAAAAAGTTCCTCCTTTTTGCATTCTTCATTTGGGTCCCCTCTCCACCTCTTCCTGTGTCCTCGGTGCCTAAATTTTGTTGAGCGAATCTATCCGCATAACATTCATCAAGTTAACATCTTCCAGGGAATTGCTAGAATTTTCCTCTACATCATTTATTTTTTTACCGCTGTGGAGAATTTTCTTTTTTTTCTTTTTTTCCACAATGAAGTATCTTTTCTTGTTAATTTTTCCCTTGCGTATGACATTCTTACCCTCGTCGATGTGGTAATTTATATGATTCTCTTCATAAAGGGGGCTATCACGTTTTGGCGTCTCCTCGTTTGACGAATAGTCCGTATGGTAGGCGAGGTTTGCGTAATTCTGACCACTTTGTTCCTTATCAGCTTGGAAAAGGTCCCTTGATTCTTTTCCTTCACTTTCTGCTTCGTCTTCTACTAATTCACCACCATTTGGGTCCGTCTCTTCTTTGATCGACTCTGCTATTACGTCTTCTCTCCGCGTCGGCCTCGCCTCTGCGGCGTGGTCCACTTGGCTGAGTTCCCCCCTTTGTTCAATTTTTGTTCTCTTCGACACTTCACCCGTATCGCTGTCGAACTCTTCCCTTTTAACTTCCGCGTTTTCTGCCCTTCCTCCCGAGTTAGCATTTACACCCATCGCTGTGAGTTCACCTTTTGTGTGTTCCTTTTTCCCCTGCCCTGATTTATCCTCCGGTATTGCCTTGTCCACTGGCGGCGGTTCATCAAGCGAGAGGGTTCTGTCTGCGCAGAGGGTTTCCTTTGCCTCGTAGGTTTCTTTAGCCTCATACGTTTCTTCAGCATCATACGTTTCTTCAGCATCATACGTTTCTTCAGCATCATACGTTTCTTCAACATCATGCATTTTTTCGGCATCATACGTTTCTTCAGCATCATACGTTTCTTCAGCATCATACGTTTCTTCAGCATCATACGTTTCTTCAGCATCATGCATTTCTTCAGCATCATACGTTTCTTCAACATCATGCATTTTTTCGGCATCATACGTTTCTTCAGCATCATACGTTTCTTCAGCATCATACGTTTCTTCAGCATCATACGTTTCTTCAACATCATGCATTTTTTCGGCATCATACGTTTCTTCAGCATCATACGTTTCTTCAGCATCATACGTTTCTTCAGCATCATGCATTTCTTCAGCATCATGCATTTCTTCAGCATCATACGTCTCTTTAGAATCGTAGGTTCTCTTCACCTGCTCGGTCGCTTCCCCATTTTGCAGTCCCTCCGCTGGTCCGTTCTTTCCCAGCTGGTCCTTCTTCTTAATTTTATATTTTTTCCTATATTTTTCGTTCCCCTGATGGAGGAAGAAAAGCTTCTTTGGCACATTATCAAAAGTACTCTTCCCAAAATATAGGTGCTGTATATGCTCGATAAATAAATTCACCGAACTGCTATTCCGTTTGTACACCACATAAGCACTGTTTGGCATGGTGTGAAATTGTTCCGTCAGGTCTACCCTGTGCATTCTGCAATCTCTAGGGTGAAGACTTGGCTTCCCCGTGTTGCCATCCGCTTCTTCAAACACGTGTAGCAAATGTGTGCGTGTTCTCCTTGTGCCATCTCGAATAAGATAATCAGATTCACCTCTTCCATTAAGAGAGACATGCTCATTTGTGCACTTCGTCCTTTTTTCTGTTTTGCCAAGGGGGGTGTTCGTACATGCCTTACCCCCATCTGTATACATGTCGCTCAAAAAATATTGGTCAAAAATTTTTTCAAGCACTTCATACACTCCTTTATTTCTCAGTACGCTAATGTTATAGACTTGTATGGGAATACTTTTGTAATTATTAACATTTTCGTTAAAGACCTTTTTGAGTAAGGTTTCTAGTAATTGGTCATTCTCGATGTCGTCTACAGTGATGGCTCCCTTTCGCCCCATCTTGATGTCCTTCACGATGTCGCTGTAGGTTTCTTTTTGTACTTGTTGGGGAAGGCGCGATTTTTGGAAATTTCCCTCCTCTGTGTCATATCGCGTGTTTTTTGTCATTTCTCCATTTTGACCATCCTGATTTCCCTCTCCTTTCGCCTTCTTCTCGTCGGTTTCCTCCCCCGCAATGCCATCAGGGAAGGCGCAGTTCAGAACCCTTTCATGGAGCATGCCCATGTAGTGCTTCAAAAAGGTGTTATCACTCGACAGAAGGAACTGCCAGAATCTTTCATTTTTGTAGACATCTATTGAATTTATATAATTGGATATACATGGAGCGGAAAAAAAGGCTGACTTGTCTTCGGATTTATTTCCTAGAATGAAAATAGGTTTTAAAAATTGTCTTCCCTTTTTACAAGTGGTGCTCTCATCAGGAAGTTTCCCATCGGACAGTCTCCCATTGGCCACTCTTCCATCCGCCTCTGTCCCATCAGGCAGCCTCCCATTCGTACTTAAACAGGACAAATAAAGGATCGCCTTAAAAATGTGCTTCTCATCCTTAGCATCAATCACGTAAAATATGACGTCCGCGTCATCATAATAACAGTCGTAAATATTTGTCGTGTTTGTCGGCGTGCCTTCCAAGTCATATATTTTTAAAGGCTTCTTATTGAAGGTAATTTTCTTCGTGTTAAATCCGAGGGCACAAGTGCCGTTTTTATTCCCCGTGGATATTACCGTGTTTAACATGTCATATTTGCTTTTGTTGTTAAAACTACCGATCAGATTGAACAGACTTGTTTTGCCTGATTCGCACTCTCCGATTATTAACACGTTCAGCGCCTTCTCGTCTTGCGCGTTGGAAAAGACAGACTTTATTAGGGAGAGCATTTTTGCTTCCTTTCCCGCTTCGTTGACTCTCTTCCTATGCCGCTTGGTACGTCTCTGCTAATTACACGAACGGCACACGCGTCAAGTATTTCTCTCAAAGGTGTGTAATCCTGCGCATCGTGCTTATCACGTCGAAGCTTGTTGTCTTATTTAACCTAACCCGTTAAGTTACTTTTGTAAATAACTTCTAAAAGTGGATGCGGGAATGTCTTCGTACGTGCAGTCATGCGATCTGATGTTCTTACAAGAAAGCAACCTCGTGGCAATATTTATGCACAGAAATTTCAATTTGTCCCCTACGACGTAAATGGGTGTGTCCCCGCGCAAGCATAAACAGATTGACACACGCATTTGGGACTGTTTCCCTTTTGCGTCTTCATTTAAATATGAACAGTTCCCGATTTTCTGCAAAACATGCTTCCGTTCGCTTCTGCGAAGGTAATATCAGCTTCAGTAATTTTCCCCTTTAAAGTAACGTTTAAAGTACCCAATGGATTGTAGGACAGTAGTAGGGGGGTGGGAAAAAATAATTCCCTTTTACGTGCCACTTACACAGTTACTATTTCGTCAAAGCCGATTCTTTAAATGTGCAGCGCCTTATTTTTTTCAAAATCCCCTTTCTACAATTGTACAAATGGAGATATATAACACGCAGAAAAATGAATATATGTCCGTGTTGCGATCATCTGCACCCATACACGAGGCTGTACACATACGTCCGCACCAGTTCGGCCAATTACACACAAAGGACTGATAAGGCTGTCAAGCTCTGTTTCACCCCAAGTGGTAAAAATACGCAACCTTTACTTCATCTTTTGCATCCACCTTGGAGGTATATACATAACAATGTGCCTTTCAATTTTTCACAAATTGAATTTACAAAATTATGGCTTGAAAAATTGAAACGAAAAAATGGCGCAAAGGCGAGTAAAATAAAATAAACCCGCTTAGGAGTGTGAGCGTGCCCCAAAATGTTCACATCATATTATTTGAGGGGAAAATGCAGGCGTGTACGAACGAATGGCGTTGCTCTTTTGAGCATTCAACTGTGAATGAAGGAAGCCTCGTTCCACGTGTCATCCAACAAAACGGAAAGAAGCTGCGGAAGGCTACACTTAAGGGAAAATTTTCACGTCCCTCATAATACACCCTTCTGAGGGTGCACTCCCATTTTGTTTTATTGTACTATACATTTTTTTTTTAATTCCTTTGGCGAGGCGAACGAGTGAAGCATACATTAGGGCATTTTTTTTCTTTTGCGGAATCCAGGCACAATTTTAAATATTCTCAGCACATGTGCAGGGACTCCTGCCAGATTTCTCATATGTGTTAAGCCACCAAGATGGCTTGGATGCCTGAAACATTTTTTTTCCCACACTGATTTGATGTAATGGGGTGAACAACACGTCGGCTTCTTTCTTCGTGCCGTAAATAATTTTCCCGCCAAGTAACCGATTTTACTTTTTTAATAGCACCTTTCTTTCATTACAGTGCCTAGCAATGGTCCGAACCATACACACAAAATAAAGAATTGTACGATGGGAGATTAATGTCACCTACACGATTGTGTTCCTGGGGTATCAGCTTCCCCAAAGGTACACACCGCGTACAGGCGCAATTTCCTGCTTTGGGGGGATCAAACCAGCAGACCTCTTGTGTAATTCTGCGCAAACCGCGCTCGTCTAATTGCAGCGCATTTATGACGTTTTAAAACGGTGTTCACTATTCAAACCTGCCATGGTGATGCATAATTCTTAATAAATATCAATGGAAGGAATTTTTTCTTTTTTCCCCCATAATTTACACACACGTGTGTGAAAAATACGGGCGGGTTAAAACATATTTTGTTATGGGACATTTTTCTCATCCCGCTGCTACTCTGAAGGAAAATATGCCCCTTTTAACATTTCATGAATTGGAGAAGCATAATATATACTTTCCTCAGCCGAAGATACAAAGTGGGTTACTCCTCCGTCATTTGTTGGCACTTGTTCATATCGTGAAAGTGCTCCTCATAGGTTGGAGGGAAAACAAAACAACCATGTAGAGTTGTACAAGGCTACGGGGAGTTGCAACCCCTTTTACGTCCATGTTAAAATTTTTTTCCTGTGCTATTTTCACCCCCTCCAGAACGTTGTTTGAGAAATGTGATTAACCGTTAAAATTGCATCATTGGAAATTCATTTTTAACACATAAAAGGTGTGAAGTGGCTCGACGCGAAGGTACTGTGGTCCCTTATGAGTCGCCACACCATCCGAAGTTGCAAAAAATGTATACGTTTGCATATATGCATGAATGCCAGTTCGGGGAAAGATAAATAAAATGGCCCCTATGGGAACTCATCAAAGTGTGCTCCTTTACGGTGTTTTTAACTTTATGTATCCGTATCCCTCCTTTTTTTTCCCCCTTTATCCCTAAACAGGTAAATGTTGAACTTAAGGGGGGCAAAAACGTCGGTATGCCCTGTTGCTCAGCATCACAACATAATACGCGCGAATCCTGTGCGGGAATTTCTTTTTCCCTATTTTGAGAATAAAAAACGGATACTTGGGTATCTTCTGAACAAATTAGAGGTACCCACAGCATGCACAGTTCTTGCGGGGGGTCATATCACATATTAGCGGTCCATGAAGAGAACTTATAACATACACTTCGTATGCTTATGTTTGTACCTATTTTACATACCAGTATACGTACATACGTGAATACGTTTTATATGCGCGCGTACCGTGCTGCCGTGCGCGCTGCACAACGATGTGCCCTCGTAGTTTTCCCCAATCTACGTACTTCACATTTATACGGCAAGAAGGTATGTATACTTGCGCAGCACAGGATGAACATACACAAAAAGAAGTGATTCCTACCACGCGGTTCCTTTTAATACACAGGTAAATGGTCAATTTTGTGCTTTCGTGAAGGGGGAAACTCACATGGGAAATGTAACATAATTTTTTCGATTCATGCTCGTCCCATAATCGCTACGTAGTTAATACCCTTCCACAGCATTCCCCCTTATGTATGTATTTTTTTTTGTCACATGACATAGTTAATGCCAGCACAACCGTAGGTACATATGGGGGGGGACATTATTCGTGTCATCATTTCACATGTTCGGGAAAAGGAAATACATCCTTGTGCCCCTACTCGGATAACATACCTTTT